GCAGCTCTTCGATTATCCTCACAAGGCTGAGTGGACCCCATTCCAGACCCACTACTTCTCAGAAAATCTGGTAGCGCCAGAAATTGAACCCAGGACCTCTGGATCTGTAGCCAGGAACTCTCAACCACTAGACCACAGAGGCAATCCACAAAAAATAAGAAACAAAAATGCATTAGTGCAAACTAACATGAAATAACACATCCAATCCAAACAACAGCTGAATTGAAGACTTAACACTGGTAGCTTCACAAGTGTGGAAGGTGGGGTGGTAAAATAATATTGAAGATATTTTGGGATTGGGCACATTAAGGATGGAAGTTCTTGGAATTTTACTTTAATACCTATTTTATTTAAGTGTTATTGTTTTCATTCTTATCGGCCTTTTATGCAAAATATACAGTATTTCCAAGATTTACCTTTATGATTTTAAATATTCCTCTATTTTTTCTCACTTCTTTTCAGCCTTCCCCCAACTCCTGCAGCACACCTGCAGACCCTTTGTGCCACAGCACACTGGTTGAAAATCTCTCATCTAGAGCACAAGAGGGACATATCTTGCAGCACTAAAATAAATGCAGTTTTAAATATGGATCTTATCCGAATAATTGGCCCTCAAATAAATGGCTTAAATAAAAGCTACTGTGGGATTATGCAGAATCATTTGGTCTTTATATAAGTGATCTTGACTGTTTACAATTTATCAAAGAAGTTCTTGAGTTTCCTCACACAATCACCATCACACACTTAAAGGTATGGAGCAGCCATATTTGCTAGTTACACAGGATGAGACTTTTGATTGAACAGATATTTTTGTCAACTAAACCCACAAAAACCGAACACAGATTGACTCATGAGTGTGCTTTCCATGAAGGAAAAGCTGCAACTAGGTGACAACTCCCTGAAGAAAAGATAAATATTTCAAATAGTGTATGCTTGGGTTATATGTACTTTGGACAAGACAAACTGTTCTGTGAAAATGGCTGCAACCAAGTGAGATAGTGAATGTATTAATGACAAGACACAATACTTTACTCTTATATAATAATAATAATTTCTGATAATTTAATTCTAGAAGAAAAAGAATGGAAAGTTCATAACTTAAACTCTACTAAATATAACTGTTTTGTATACTTAAACCTTTAATGTCTTTCCTCAATTCAACATAAGCCAGTTTTGTCTGCAGTCTGTACAGTTGCCATTCCATATTGGCCATTCAGTTACATGACAACATATAAGAATGAGGTACAGTGGAATCTGCCAATCTGTTTTAATGTACTTAGTGTAGATGCTTGGTCCCAGGCACCTATGCAACATGCAGTATCACTGTCACATATTACTGACACCTATCAGGGCTGGTTATCGTAGGCCAAGCCTTAATTTGCACAAAGTAAGTGGCCCATCTGAGAGAAAAGTTAAAACTAATGTAGAACACATACCTAATTCTGCGGGGAATTTGAAGTGTTGTACCACAGAACAAGCATGGCACAACATTTCATAGGATTATGTTGTATCACATACACCAAGAATTGATTTGATCATATATTATTTATAAACAGTTCATAGTTCAATTTGCAATGGTATATTAAAATTGGCAAAAAACATAAGGGTTTAAAATTATATAATTTTAATAATTTAATTTCCTTTAAATAAATCTTTAATCCTCTA